CGATCTATACGAGCTGTCAGAATGCCGGCAAAAGCCGGCATGTGTGTCCCTCTGCTTTGACTCTCAGACACCCGATATTAAGGTATCGGGTGTCTGAAAAAGGTTAACCCTTTCATTAATGAATGCCTCTGTAGTAAGGGCATACATTAATGAATGTTAAAAGCTGATTCTCAGCGATTAACAGCCCTCTAAAGCAGCAAATAACTCGTCACGTACAGTGTACGTGACAAGTCATTTGGTCCCTTTGTGGCTGGACGTACAGTGTACGTCTCCCGTCACGAAGGGGTTAATTGATGTGTGCTCCTCTTTTATATTTTTCCAGAAAAATTGGGTATTATATTGTGTGATATATACTGCGGGGTGGGAAGGTTTGAAATATATATAAATTATCAATAAAGCTTTGATTTGTTTATAATGGAGGGTCCCCTATTAATTTGTTAACAAAAACGATTTTTCCCCGAAAAAGGGGATCCCACCACTGTTTCAAAATTTTTGACCATACACTTTATATTAGTCGTAGAAAATTATTTATTAAATATATATTTAAAATTGCACATATATCAAAAAATCCATATCAAATTATTATATTGTGTGCACGAAACTTCATTTTAGTGTATTTGTTCCTAAAAATATTGACTTGATAAAAATTTGCGCAAATGTCATGTGTCATAAAAAAATGCAGCTACCATTTTTGGGGTTTTAAAGTAATTCTCTATCCAAAAATTCATATTTTAGCATCTGTGTGCAATAATAAAAAAAAACTGGCAGTTAATAAGCAGTATGAAAACTATTTATTTTATAAATATCCACATACACTGATTTTACTATAGTGTCTAGAATCTATCTCATATAGTAATAGCCACATGCATTGTTTTTTAATGTCACATACAATCTTTAAATCTGTTACTATTTTATGTATTTTGTATTGAATTCCTACTTGTGGCCCTGAAAAAAGGTGTCAGAGTCCACAGAAACGTGTTGGCCTTTTGCATGATTTTTGCTAATCAGATTTCCACTATACTGTCTCTGAATATTTGTTCTTTGGTGCATTGGCATACAGACTCCTTTTTATTAAATTTAGTCAAAATGTTATAAATAAGGGTAATATAGCGTGCTTCGTCTGTAATGTAAGCTATGAAAATATGTGGCACTTCTAGACACTTTCTTTAGAAA